TCCTTTCCAACAAGAATTCAAAGAAACAAAAAAAAAGCAAGTTATGGAGAGAGGGAACGAAATCCCTCTCAGGTAAAGAATCCTGCACAGGTGGGATGTTCTTCTCCTTTTCTAACTCATTATCCCACAAGTTCTTCTTCTTCTAGGACGATTCTTAAGTTTTCTTCTTGATCCCTTATTCTTCTTTATTGCATGTTCAAGTCGAGAAAGGATTCTTAAAGGTGTCCTTGAGAGGGAGTAGCATCAGATGAGGAGAGTCCTAATGGGTGGAGGAATCCCATGCGAGCGGGACTCTTCTTGCCTCATCCTCTGACCATGTGGGTCTAAAGCCAAGACCACATAAGGTTGAGCCTTCTCTTGGGCCTTTGAGCTCTTGGGCCTCCAAATTAAAATCTTCACTCACCCACTCTTGGACTAAAACATTGAAAGCTTGTTGGTCTTTTTGGACCTAGCCCTTGTGATTGGCTCATTTGGATTCTTCTTACAAGGTCTCCAAATCCATCTTATTGATGAGTCTGTTTTTCAACTTAAGTCGGTTTAAAAAACAAGTTTGGGTCGAGAATCGCTTCATTTTTGGAGTTGAAGTTGCGGGAATCCAAAGAGGAAAAGGTTTCTCATTCTCGCCAGTTGGCAGATTCCCATGGGTGCGGGAATCCTCCTCTACACTATTTTCATGTGGGCACTATCTGCATGCGTGTTGCCTTCGTGCCCGCACTGGAGTCCGTGCGTGCTATCTTTGTGCATACAGGCATCTCGTTCCGTGTATCCTCCATGGGTAAGCTCACTCGATTGGTCTTGCTCGCGGGCTTGCTCCTCTCAGGTGTCCGAGAAAGGGAAATGGTTCCTGTGGTTCACATCACTAACTTTTGATATTAATGTGGTATAACAAATCTTCAAAGTGTCGGTTATAGCTTTTGATCATAGATTCTACAATGTCAAAGCATTTTATAACCAAACAAGAAATATATTATGCTTTTAGTATAGATAAATACATAAACAAGCTCTACATGTTTTTCAAGACTACTTCTATTTTTAATATATATAAACATAAAAGCATATTTTATTTGCATTTAAAATTTTTTTATGTTTTTAATATAATATATTTGTATATATATATATAAGTAGATTTTACATGTTGTTGATCCAAGTGAATAGGGAACTTAAGGGAGGGTTGAAATTGGATTGCAAAAATTATGTAATTTTAACTTAAAATGAGAATTCTAAAAATATATAGAAAGTGAGAGCAACCTAACATGTGCTAAATGCTAGAGGAAACAAATAAAGTTATGTTCAAGCTCTTAAGTTAAGTGCCTCTAAAATTTGTGATAATATAGAAAGCTTTCAAGAAATTATAAAGGTTAGAATAGTAATTCAATAAGAAGAACCAGTTAATCACACAAGAAAAAATTAGTTAAAAGTTTGTAAATCAACTGTCTGTAAATAAATGAGAGAAGGGAAAAGAGATTGGAACTTAAATGTATAAAGATTGGGTCAGCCACATGTACCTACACCCTCCATAAGTCAACCACTTGAATATTTCTACTATCTTTAAAATACTTCTTTTTTTTATGCTTAACTTCACCTCTTTCAAATGCTTAAGTGTTTTTTTTTTTTTTTTTATCACAAGACGTGATTTATAAGATTAAGTCAAGAAACTCAAAGGATTTTTTAATATTTGGCTCAAAAGAGAATTTAATCTTTCAAGTGTTTAACTCATGAAGATTTTTTTAATATATATCTCTATTTTCAGAGTTAAGTATTTAGAAGAATAATATCTTAAATAGGCTTTTAAAAAAAGTAAATATTCAACTTAGAGCTCAACGAGAAGAAAAGAGACCTTTTAAACAATTAATTAAATTTCTAGCTCAAAAAAATTTCCAAAACTTTGTTTAAAAACAAATAAAGGAACAATGGTTTCTAACTGTTACTAGAAGTCATTTTTCTTGTAAGGTACGATACCACCATAAAATTATGAGGTGTTGATAATTAAAAATGGTAGAAGCTGAAGTTTTTAATAAGAGATAATTTGTGGACTTAAGCTTTATTGAGAGACTATAATGACTGGAAGAGTCTAGCAGGGTATGGTGGAGGGCATGGCTTAATTGGATAAGAAAGGAATCGAGTTTTGACTTTGTTTGAGGAAAATTGGAATTTTTCATGGTAGTCTCTGCTACAATTACTGCATCATAAGTATTTCAAATACTCACCAATAATTAACATCAATGACCAATATACATATTTATAACGTATAATACTACATACACTTTGATTACGATACATAATTTTTATTTCAAATAAAAAGATGAGATAATTCTATATTTATGTATTTTATAAGTTGGTGCAGTATTTGAGATGAATCCATATTAAAAATTCTTATCCTCAGTGCTAGAATAAAATATTGAGGTGTACATTTTGCACATAAATGATGTAAATTAATATGTACAAGAAGTCCTCTGCGAGCTCCTATTTATGTTGTATTTACACGTTCCATGTGTACATATACTTGCACATTTTCCCTTCTAGCATAGTGGTCGTCCCAATGGTTTTAGATACATTAAGAGGTATTTTATGCGTCATTCTGATCTCTTGTCCCATATGGAGTACTTGCCACTTTTTTTTCTTCTTTTTTGGATATTCTTTTATCTTAGATATATATACTCCAAGAGAATGCTAACAATAAAAATAGAGTCTACCTTATAAAGATGAAGACATTTTCTTATCAAATGAAGTAACCTTTGTAGTTCAAACTTTTGCTTAAAGATTTAAGAGATATTTCATTCTACTATTCTTTAAATCTGTTTGCTGCCAGTTTTTTCGTAAATCAAAGATTAAATTTGACTTGATGCCTTATATAGATTTTCTTAAAGTATGTGGAGGTTGCAAACTGAAGAGAGAAACAGGATAAAGGAGGATTAACTTATTAAGAGGCCTATCCCAATATATATATATATATATATATATATATATATGAGAGAGAGAGAGAGAGAGAGAGAGAGAAGTAAAGTAAAGTAATAAAGCTGTCAAAAAATACATTGAAGAAATAAAAGGAAAGAATGCATTTAATTAGGTGTATTAATTAAAAATTGATGAAAGACGAGCAATGGGCGGCAAGGGAGAGGCAGAGACAGACAACCTGAATGCAAACATTAATATTATTTTGTGTGTGAAGAAGAAGGTACTAGCAGCTGCAGCAGCTGCTGCAATGTAAGAGATAAAAGAAGGAAAGGTCATGTCAAAACAACCCAACATGCTCTAAATCTCTGACCAATAATAACAACAACAATACATATACACATATACAAACATATATACATACACAAACACCTCTCTCTCTCTCTCTCTCTCTCTCTCTCATGCACTGTTTGCTTTCTCCGCGCCTCCTTAGCCTCTGCTTCTGGGGGAATTTCCCTCATCTCCTCACCCACCACCCTAGCTACTAATCATCATCTTTCTTTTCGCATTTCTTTTCCGGCGAACAAATAGACAACCCTTTAACAATATTGCTTTAAACATAGACAACATTTGCATGATTCTCTCTCTCTCTCCTTCTTCTTCTTCTTCTTCTTCTTCTTCTTGATCTTCTTCTTTACTACCACTTCGACTAATTCTGCAACTCATTCGTTATATTGATATTGTATTCAGAACAAACCTCAGCGTCTCTAACAACCAGAAACAAGATTTAGTCATTCTTGTTTCATATTCCGAAATAAAAAGGTTTGACTGATCAGAAATCCAGTTCACGGCGAGTTATCTGGTAACTACAATTTTTTTTTTCTCATATAATCTTTCTTTCTGGGTTTTGTTTTTTTAATTCTTAATAGATGAAATTTCAATTTCTTTATTTTATTATTAAAATCCCAAGACAAAAAGAATAAGAATAAAAATAATTCTTTATCCCAAGATCTCCAACAGTCAGAGTCAGACAACCCTTTCCTTACTCTTTTCCCCTCCCCCTCCCCCTCCCCCTCCCCTTTTCCCACTTCTCTTAGTTTATAAGATATTAAAATGTATATTTTACATGTAAATATTTTTTTCCTTATCATTAAAGTAAAAGGGCTAATGGGTTCATCCCAAGAGTTCTTCAAGCTATATGTAATTGTATAAACTTATCTTTTTCTCTCTCCCAAAAGTCCCATCTTCACATGAAAACAAAGTCTATAATGATAGCAGTAAAAATTTTCTATGAAATTCAAGCAAGATCTAACAAACGTCCCCTCCATCGAAACTAGCAAACTAAAAACTCTACTTCACGAGATCCAATCAACTTTTACCAATCAACTCTGATTAAAGGTGCCCTATTTCTCTCTCTCTAACTCTCTAAACTATACATTAGAATTTGTTTACATAGTAGGTGGCCTAGGGTAGAAGTTGAACTTGACTAACTCTATACATATATTGTTAATCAACCCAACATAATATTAAATTATTGAGCTTTCCCTTTTACAGCTAGATCTCTTAAAATCCAGGCAAAAGGCAAGAGGATCTCGCGTTGATTCCTTAGGAACCCCACCTTCACATAACAAAATCAGAGGAGAAAATAAGTGATTATACGCCGGATCCTGCAAGAGTAATCTTTCCAGTTTTGACAAACTTATTTCATGCAAAGAAAGATACTTCACAATCCCTCAACTTCCTTCTCTGATCATTTATATATGGCATTTTATTTTATTTTTCCAAAAAAGTTCTCTTCACTTATTTAATTCCCAGTTAATTTGATTTCGTAAAGATCTTTGGAATGAAAAATTACCCGCCACCCTAATTAAACTCTATTTTCAGATTTGATTCCCCGTTTTCTACATATCTTCAACTGTTACTCCCATTGGCAGTTCATCCATCTCCCCTGCTATCAAACATTCAAAAATCTCCTAAAAGATCCAAGAAGTAGCACCCCAAAATTCCTTTCTGTTCTTGATCATACACATCAATTACTGGTTTAATTATAACTTTGTTTATGTGAAATATAGATAAAAATCTTTATGTTGCAGAAGAAAAGGTGGAACATGGCATCGTCTTCAAATTCCCCATGCGCGGCGTGCAAGTTTCTCCGGCGGAAATGCCAACCGGAGTGCGTGTTCGCGCCATATTTCCCACCGGACCAACCGCAAAAATTCGCCAACGTCCACAAGGTTTTCGGCGCCAGCAACGTCACCAAGCTACTCAACGAGCTACACCCTTCACAGCGCGAAGATGCCGTCAATTCACTCGCCTACGAGGCTGACATGCGCCTCCGTGACCCGGTCTACGGCTGCGTTGGTGTTATCTCTCTTCTCCAGCATCAGCTCCGCCAACTCCAGATGGACCTCAGCTGCGCCAAGTCCGAGCTCTCCAAGTACCAAAACCTCGGGATCACTAGCCACGCTGGACTCATTGCTGCAGCCGCAGCCGCTTCCCACAACCACCACCAGAACATTGGCGGCGGTGCAGTCAGAGATCACCATTATCATCATCAGTTCTTCCCGAGGGATCACCACCACCATCAGCAACAGATGCTGAGAACGACCTTTGAGGCTGCCGGTGGATATGATGGCGCCAGCCTTTTAGCTATCGGACAACTCAGCCAGTTCCAGCCATCCAGGGCTGCTGCAGGAGACGACCGCCGCACAATTGATCCATCTTAGGGTTAGGGTTTTGCCTTTTGCATACCGGGGTACGTCTTGATTAATTACTCATTACTTTTTCTTTTAAGTGATATGTACTCATTTGGAATTATGAACATGACAATTATATTGCACTAGTATTAAAGTTTTCATGATATATATGACTATATATGTGGTCCTTATTGAGAAAGAATTAATATAAGGGCTAGCTAGTCCAATATTTACTTGAGCTAGGGTTTAAAAATAAGCAAATTCATCTTATAGTAAAGATCTTTTCCTAGCTTGTTGATCTTCATTCCCAAACCGGAGTTACTAAAATGGGTTATGTTGGAGATTATAGGTATGATCATTGGTCATGATCCTTTTCTTAATTTTAGGCGTAAACAAATAAATTTTCTTTGTGTATTTTTTCTTTATATATATTTACAACTTATGGAAATAAAAGGACAGAAAACACTTTGATATAAATTACTTAGATCTTTTCAGTTTCTTTTAGGCGAAGGAAATAATTTTTGAGGAATGATTAAACACACGTGGAATACTTATACCTATATATATGTAAAATATAAATAAGTTTAGATAAGTGGGTTCAGAATTATTTAAACATCAAGAATAAACAGTATGTTAATTGTCTGTGTGTGTATATTTATATCTAGATATATATATTTGTATAGGTGTATAATCAGAAAAGTGGTTTTAGCAAATCTTAAGTAACCCAAGTGAGTAAAAAAATAAAAGACACAATTCCCAGTGTTTGACTAAAAAAGTTATACTTGAGTATTGTTGATAAAGTTAGTGGGCAAAAATGCGCACTTCATTTTCCCACACAACCCAGTCTTTTTCTTCATGATGCACACGGTTGCGTGACTATACAAACTACAGGATTAAACTGTAATGTTTTTGAACATAACATTTAAAATCAAATCGATTTCGACCTTTAAATTCATTTCATGAATTAAGGGTAATTATGATTATTAATTTAAGCTTATTTTTGGTTATTTTGCTTAAATTTGATATATATATATATATATCTATACATATATTTGCAGGAGGGAGGTGTGTCATTTGTGAGAGAGGAGAGACGGGCATGCCATGCATTAATTTAATGTTTATCATTAATTAAGCACCTAATTACTTATATGCCTCTTCTTAAATGATAGACAATTTTGTAATGTCTCATTAAATATAATGTATAAGCTATCTAGTAAATTTTCTTTGTGTTAGGTTAATCGTCCCTCTCTCTCTCTCTCTATATATATATATATATGTATGTGTATATATATATATATATATATGTTGATCCTATTGTTGGCATTAGGGTTGTGCGGCCAAAAGTGTACTTGTTCTTCCAGTTTTCTTACAGTAGTTCGTGGGGTTTTGGTATGCCTCATAAAATGTGCCATGGCTGTATTCTTCTTTCCCTATTGTGTGTAAACAGAAGAAATCAGACAGCTACTCTTATTATTTTGCTTTGCAATTTCAAGGGCGAAATATGGTGGTAAAAGTGTGTTGTATGTATCTCTCATCTCTTTCTCTCTCATAGCTCCAACAAAGCGATATTATTCCAAAATATATCAACCCCCTAAATATTAAACCTCCATTTCAAAACTTTGAACCTCATTATCGATCATCTCCTTTATGTAATTACTTTTTAATTGGAAATAATTACGTTTGTGTAAGTATCACCTCATAAAAAGTGAGGCTTGTTTTAATTTGAACTTAAAATATTTAAAAATTTTAAGGTTCATACTTCGATGGTTTCGTGTCACTAAACCAACATCTCAGATGGTATCTTATATATTCACTTAGGCTATGTTTAGATTATAAGAACATGGTTTTATGGAATTCTCTTCCAAATTCGTAGTAATTATTATATTATGAGATTGAATAAAATTTTGAATTCAATTCATTTTTTTTTTTTCGTACTGTAAACTCAAATAAAGATTTGTGCAAATTCAGAAAAAGAAAAAGTCTAATATTCCATCAAATTCACTATTTTTTTTTGGAGTTTGCTTTATATAAAATTGTACAAATTGAACTCTTAAAGGATTTAAATTAGAATGAAATAATATTATTTTAAATTTATTTAAAAATTAAATTCACTAAAATATCGATCTTTATTGGTAGCTTTTTTTTTATTTATTTATGGGGATTCCTAATTCAAATAAGTATTTAAGATTTAAATAAATTCTACAAATCATTTTTTTTTTCTTTTTGTCCTTTTTAATTGTAAGGGTAGGTAGACTCGTTTAAAGAAGGGGAGATTGGTGCATTCAGTATTTTAATTCTAAAATGCTACCAAGAAATCATCATCTTCAGATGGTCATTATTTTAAATTTGATTTTGGTCAATACTTATTTGCATTGTTTTACTTTCCTTAGGGAGAAAGATCATCAAATAGACACCTTGCTAATAGGGGTGTGTGTGTGTGTGTATAAGCAGGTAGGGCTATCATTGTATACAATCTCAATCAGTGCATGGATAAACTCGATGTTACTTTTTTTCTATTTTGACCAAAATATTTAGGTTATATTACTATTTTTTTCTTTTCCTTCCCTTTTATTTTTGGTCAAAGTAGCTCTTTCATTTGCTAATGTCAATAGTACAAACAAAATGAAGATTTTGAATAACCCTACCAACCATGCACATAATAGTCTTGTTTGGCCATCTTTAAGAAGCTTCCTATATTATAAAATATTGTTGATATAATCCCAAAATAATATAAAGTAAAAGGAATATATACGCTAAAAGCTCTTGTGATATTAAAAAAAAAAAAAATTATGTTAACTTTTATATTTTATTTCAATTCAAATATAACTTGAAGTTTTAAATTTAGTCTACATCAACTCTCATTTTTAATGGAATTTATAATATTATGATTAAAAATGCCCACGTGTGTTCCTCTGAATATCTTTTCAAAAAAATTGAAAGCGGCAATCAGTTTCCATTTTTCTCTTAATTTCTTCTTCCCTGTGTCGATCTTTTTTTTTTTCCTTCCTCATTTCAAATTATAGTGATTGGAAAACAAAAAAACTCAACTACATCAGCATTATATATATTCATATAATGTATATTATGGAGAGAAAAATATAATGTAGTCAGTATATTACATATATACATCTATACTACATATGATATATACATATAGAGAGAGAGATTAGAGACAATAAACGCATTTTCTCTCATCTATCTCCCGGATGCTGTAGCTGGAAGTGGGAAGCGAAAGTAGGTGCTGCCGGATGCGAAGATTTCGGCACCGGTCCTGTTGCCGGCGGAAGATCCAGTTGGCGTAGTTGTGGGAGTAGAGTATGAAGACGACCAAAACGAACATAATCACCATTCCATATTCGAGATTGTAAAATTATATTGGATTGAGGTGATTGACGAGCTGGGCCAAATGGTTTAATGTAAAGAAGAGGGATTTCTTCTTTTTTTTTAGAAGATTTAACATGAGAATGTTTAGTGAACATTATGTGATAAAGATAGAGAACTTTTCAATTTTAGGTTTGGATTTTGAATTTTTAAAATTTGATCCATTGAGAAGCTTGCGATGAAAAAAAGAAGAAAAAAAATGGAAGGTTTATGATGGATCTTCCACAGCCATCCCAACTGGATCTTCCGCCAACAACGAGCTGGCGCCAGAATCTTCCCATCCACTTACTTTCGCTTCCTACGTCCGGCTAATAGAAAATGCGTTTGCTACCTCTCTCTATATATTATATATATGTTATAGATGCATATATATAATATAAAGTGGCTATATTATCTTTCTCTATATATATATATGTTGCATGAATATATTAAATCTAGTTGAGTTTCTTTCGTTTTTTGGTTTTCTAATTACTGTAATTTAAAATGAAGAAGAAAGAAGGAAGATGGGCATGAAGAAGAAGAAAGGAAGAGAAAATGGGAAACCAGTTATCAATATAATAGCCATGTGGTTGCTGCCTAGTGATTTTTTTGAAGTGATAATTACTTAACACACCGTCATGGAGAACTAATCCAGACCAAATGTAACACCTAATATTATATTTAAACCTAAAAGGTAATTTTTTCTAAATATTACAAGAGTTTTGGTGTGTATATCCCACTATAAAACAAGGCGACGGAGAGTGTATATGTATATAAGTATAATAAATGCATTAATATGATCTGATTTAGTTAATAGAGTATGGAGACTGTTAAGTGTAAGAGATTTCCAAAAGCAAGCGCAAGACAAATGAGAAGAGACGAAAAAGACAAAATGGAAGAGGTGGTTGAGAAAAATTAAATGAGAGTTAGGTCAAAAAAGAGAAACAAAGAGGCACTAAAGGAAGAATATGTAAATATACGCAGAAGAAGAGGAAGAAGGAGAGGCATTTAATATCTCTTGACAATTATTATAATAAGTTGGAACACACAAAACAAAAAGAATAAATAAAAAAAAAAAAAAAAGAAAGGAGGAAAAATAATTAACTCAAAATCCAATGCTGTAGAGAGAGAGAGAGAGAGAGAGAGAGAGAGAGAGAGAGAGAAGATTAATTAAAACTATTCTACATCTGCTGGCTCCTGCTTTGCTTTATCATATCATATCATATCAGAAACGTAGTCAACAATATACATATATATATATATGTATGTATGTATATGTATTTATATTAAAAAAAACCAATTGATTTGCATGACAATGATGACGTACTTTTGCAATGATGACTTCGCCTTTAATTGCCTTGCCAGTGTTTTAACTCTCTTTCTCTCTCTCATATTCATCACAAAACTACTGACGCATCCACCTATACTTTATCAATTCTATACACATGTATACATATACACACGAGGATAGGTTTCGAGAAATTCCAAATTTTTATAGAATAAGAAAGAAAAATTAATGTTTAAATTCTTTAACAAATTCACCTTTCTTAAGATTGATTGTGTCTGAAACATATCATTTTAGTTCTTACTTTTTATATGAAATTTAATTTTTATCATATTTCAATAAAATTGTATTCAACAAGACATGATTTTATAAATAGATTTTATTAAAAT